TTCTAAAACTGATACTTATTTACTGAAAATCCTCACGAGTTACATTCAGTATGTTTGAATCAATATAACATGGCTATAGCTATGACAGATTACATTACTTCCCCCCATTTACAATAAATGCATTGATAGATTTTTCACAATCGACTAAAGTGTGACTCATCGAAATTTCCACAGCACATGATTATTGACTTGTAAACTTAAATTGAATAATTATTTGTATAATAAATTTTATCCATGCCACTTACTCATAACATCTTGAAATTGTAATCACTTGATAAATCGACGTACTCACATAGATACACCTTATTAGATCTGTAATCTGTGTCTGAACATGCTCCATACCGAAGGTCACAGGGTATGAGGTCAATGTCATTGGCAGCCGTGTTGAAAATGGGACAGTAATCTAGATCAGTATATAGGAAACATTGTCATCTTTTAGAGTAAGCAAATTGTGGCATTTATCTATAATTGTCATGAAACATCACAAAATGTCAACGACATCATTTAATGCTGTTTTATTGGAATAACTGAATTTCCGAAAAGCTTTATCCGACATTAAATCCTTATAATGAAAAATTGCAAAAATCTGCCATATTTGTTTTGATCACATTGTGTAAGTAGTGAACATTTTATAGTCAATCATGTATGATGGAATATGTTAATACAAGTCTGCAAATTCGTCTATAAAATGGTTTTCTCTAGCGATGTTGGATGTCATATAGAAGAGAGAAAATAACTATATTGGTATATTTTTATTTATTCTAGAGTTTGTTAATGTACTTAACCTGCAAAGCTGTTTCTATAGTCTCACGTAACGGTCTAAATTCAGGATATTTACCCTACCGATTATGAATATATACATTGAGTATATATTAAGGAATTCTTACTTTTTGACGCCCAGTTTGGTTTGACACAGATCTCCCCTGGCCGGTTGTACTGATCAGGGATACAGTGATAAAACTCCGGATCTGGACAATTCCACTTCTTCTTAAATTCCTCCCATTCATTAGTATTGAAGGGACACAGCTTTCCAGTATGTAAGGGAGTGAATTGGTTTTTAGCCATTTTGTAGAGACACAACCTAACATTGTACAGATTTAAAATGAAACAAAAATTAATGGTCTTATGATATTATTAAAACTTATTTCATCATCTTTAATTTAAAATTTCCCATGACTGAGTACAAGTGCTCCCATCAGAAAGAAATTAAAATCTGACATATTTTCCGAAAGTAGAAAATAAATAAACGTGCTAATTTTTGCTCAATCCAATGAATGAGTAAATAACCTACGAGTGCAAATCATTTTCCATGTACAACATTACGTCAATGTTATTCTTGATACGATTTCTTCACACACATTTTTGTTCCTTTTTATAAATGTAATTCTTTAGACTTATTTTATATGCCATCCTACCAAATCTAGAGGAAGACGGATTTGTTCCTCGATCTCATAAAAATTCAAATGATGTTTTTAACGTTTTGAACAAACCTCAAGTCTTAATTGTTTACATTTTCAAAATGCTTTTCAAATTTATGTGTAAGAAAATGTTATTACAAATAAGTGTCATATAATTTTATCATTCTCTTTTTATTTGGCCTCTCATTTTGAAACAAGCATTGCAACAGATGTTTTGTCAGATGAAGATGTGGTTGTGGCCGCCATTATAAAATTGAATACCAAATTTGGAGCGCAATGCAACATCTCTGCGTCTCCCGCTGGAATGAATAAGCAAATGAAAATGATAAAGCTACCAACTTACCTTCACTTGTCAGTTATATGAAGCTTAATTAGTGTTGCAAAAATGTGCATTACACACAAATCACAATGTAAAATTCAGATAGCACAGCCAACAATATTGCCACATCTGTTATACAATCGATACATATAAAATCTAGGTTTATACAGTGTTTCATTGTTGCAGCATACATGTACATAAACAATGGCATGTTTTGTTGCCTTGTGTACGAGGTTGAACAAAATACCCTTTACTCCCGTTTTAAATAGATCTCATACAAATCTTAGAAAGCATGATATTTTTTTTAAAAGCTTTATAAAAGTAAATCTTCTTACTACCGTTTTTGATCCTCGGATTTCAGTGTTCTCCATAGTGTAGGTGTATTCATGCATATCTTCATTTATTTTTGACAAGTTTTGTATTAAGTTTATTTTGTTATACTGATACATAAATAAAGTATTGTTAATGAAGGTCATCTCCGATCTTCTACTGCGTTCAGTATTTATTTGTTGTGCCTTAAGAATACTCTACACACTGCAAAAAAAAGTTCATTCTGTGATATTTTATGCTATCTGCCCTTAGATCTAAAATAAAATAAATTGAAAACTACAGTTTATCAATCTATTTCGAATCAAATCAAGCATTCTTAACATTTTGATAGGCCAAGATAAGTTAATTGAACACCTCATCTACATGCTTTTTCCCCACCTAGGTACATTGTAAACAACAATGATTTCTGTTCATCAAACTTTATTGACTTTGAACATTTTCCCTGATGAAAATGATATAAATAAGCTCAATATCAATTTTATACAATATAATTTTCTCAATCTTCAAAAAACTTCTTTTTAGTGTAGAGAGGGTCCTTAATGCCGGTAAAACGGGAGAACTGAATTTTGGTTTGAATGTTATAAGCATTGTACCTCATTGAAGTTTTCAAATAGTGACTTATTTTTCTCCATTAGGGTTTACTTATTAATAATCGACGAATCTGACTCTCAAAAATCCAGAATTTGTATCTGGAATATTTTAATGTTACAGTTTTTTTTTCCGCTTTTAGATATAGAATTCGGACCAAAACACAACGAAGTTGGAACCATTAATACTACTGTTATTACATGGGTTAATACTTATAAGTAGGGAAAACATTAATGAATAAATAGAAACTTAAAAAGACAGACCATAGCACAACAAAATCAGACTACCCTTCAGACAAATATAATTACTTTAATAATAAACAATAATATTTTAATAATAAACAAAGATGTCAACAAATTAAATAGAAATATAAAATATCTGTATATTGAAATAAAAAGCTAAATATGACACCCTTTATAATGTTCTGAATAATAATTATTAAATGGTGTATTTCATTTTCAATTTAATATTTTCATTATCAATTAAAGGATTTTGTATGCAATAACGTGCACTTATAGACAAGGTATAATTAATGGGTCATTCTGAAAACACATGTACCCGTGCTTGCACAGGTGAATGCCTAGATCTGACCACAGTTAAGTCAATTCAGGACATGATCTTCTCCTCTTCCTTATGTACAAACGATTTTCTAAATTGTACAAACGAATTTCTAAATCACGCAAACAAAGGAGACGGGCGAACATAGCATGCAGAAAGCCTATAGCTTTAGATATTTAAAAATCATGTTCAATTTGTGAATTTAGTATTTAGAGTAAAGTTCTAATTATTGAAATTTATGAATTTATGATAAACAAATCTTTTCTGAGGAAAATTTTCTCGGCAAACTTTATTCTGTTATTAAAAAAAATAAAATGGTATTCGTGGGTTCGAACCCTAGCAATAAAAATCCTTGGTATCATTTTCTTTCAAGACTAGCACGCTAACCACTAGACTACACAAGTGCTTATGAATAGTGGCATTTAAGTAATGTTTGTAATATGACCCTTGACTTAATGGACTTCGAGTATTTCTGGAAAATATGCGAATGGTATGATATAAAAGTATATTTTTAAGCTATAGTGGGTCTTTGCTCCATAATTTTGGTAACCAAAAAAAATGTATATTTTTATGCAAACTTTGAGGATTTACTTTCAAAAAATGGAGCGAAGACTCACACATATCGGAAAATAGTGTTATAGAATGAGAAAATGGCTCGTTTTGTCCTCTTTAGTGTGTGTATAATATTTCATAAGCAAATAATTTCAATCTTTGTGAGATTTTTGTCAAATGTAGAGATTTTACATACTGTATATTTTAATGTCAGATGAAATATCAAGGAAAATTTTGATATAATTGAGATTTAATTTTTCACCGTCATGTTTGTCACACTATAGGCTTTTTGCTAGTCATGTTCACCCATCTTCTTTCTTAATCTTACAAAAGATTTTCTAAATTGGCAAACAAATTTCTAAATCGTGCAAACAAATTGCTTATCTTACAAACGATTTTCTAAATTGACAAACGAATTTTCTTAATTGTACAAACAATTTTAAAAAAATCCTACAAACGATTTTCTAAATTGTACGAACGCTTTTCTTAATCGTAAATATACAACCCAAGTTATACTGTATAACCTGGGATTGGGCAGTTTATGCTTTACATGAATAAATCACGAAGCGTAAACTGCTCCATCCAGGTTATACCACTATTAAATTCATTCCTTATAATTTAATTTTCCATCATTAAGTGTAGAAAATAAGATAAGTTCTCCTTCAAAAATGCCTTCAAATTGTACATATTTTAAATATAACGCCAAGCGGATTGATACTTTTTGACGTAAATCATTGTGACATAGGCAACACAGGTTATACGATATAAACTTATTTGTTTATCCAATTAAATGACGCGGTACAACCAAAATTTAATCATATACAGTTTAAACATCAATAAACAAACTGAGTTCATAACGATCTGTCTGTAGAGCAGTACCAGTCTAAGATTTATAACGATCTGTCTGTAGAGCAGTACCAGTCTAAGATTTATAACGATCTGTCTGTAGAGTATTAACAGTCTAAGATTTATAACGATCTGTCTGTAGAGCAGTACCAGTCTAAGATTTATAACGATCTGTCTTTAGAGTAGTAACAGTCTAAGATTTATAACGATCTGTCGGTAGAGCAATACCAGTCTAAGATTTATAACGATCTGTCTGTAGAGCAGTTTAAATCTAAGGTCCATAACGGATCTGTCTGTATAGCAATTACAGTCTAAGGTCCATAACGATCTTTCTGTAGAGCAGTACCAGTCTAAGATTTATAACGATCTGTCTGTATAGCAATTACAGTTTAAGGTCCATAACGGATTTGCCTGTAGAACAATGGAATGTCACTTAATACAATGAGGACCACAATAAACATGAGAATTCCCCATCCGAGGACGGAGCCGATGTTGGTTGATGACTTTCGTTCGTCCTTGGCACATGTCTTCCTCCTCAATGTTGAGGAGAGACTTTCCATTTTCACTTTCAACTCCATCTTCAATTTGTCAATTCGATTCTTAAGGACTACTGGATCTTTGATGAAATTTTGGGTTCGGACCCTATCACATGGACATTTGCAACCTATGTAGAGTTCAAAAAATGATTTTCACATCATTCATACTAAAAATACATGTGTAATATGTAAAACTTTCTCTTGATTGTATTTTAGATACTTACGTTTACAAAAAGGCTTCTCTCCTGTCCAACTGCCACTTCCGTCACAGAATCTAGTTAGATCACCGCCAGAGTGACGATGGTTTCTCCTACACGTGTAAGTCACATTATAACCCTCAACATAGATTGGAAACGGACTTGTTTCACGAATAGTGGTAATGTTCTCATGGATAGGTTCCTGACAGGTGACTATTTAAAACCAATTAATCTTTATTCAATCATGTCAAAGCCTTACCTGTAACATGTTTATAAACACCATGGTCCAAGTACAAACAATTTAATTCCTCTTTGCACAGTTACAGGTCTATATCAATAAATGAACTTATGTTTCCTTTCATTTCAGTTTTGGTTGTTTATTGTTAGAAAGATGTAAAGGAATTGAATAATTATTTTTTAAGGGATTAAGTTTCAAAAGATCAATCATTTCTTTTCCTTATTAAGCATTGAATGATCAATGAAAACCTAACCATTGCAAACTGGAGGATCCCCCAACCACTGCCCCCTTCTCGGACACTGATGCGTTAGATTACCACGTGTCAGAACATGTCCAGCCTCACAATCGTAGACACGAGACTTCTGGAACGCAGTAAAGTTTTCTCTGACGTCACTCTGATATTGTACTTCCAAATTGTCTAACATATTATGCTTGAGAACAGCTTTTGTAGAGTTGTAATTTTCACATTTATCTACAAAATCAAGCAAATTTAACGTGTACTTCGAGGGTTTTTCGAAAAGTTAGCGGACAGTGTCGATCTGTATTAGTTATTTTCAAGCAGTTCAAGATCACCATATAACATGCATATGTATTCATTCCACGTGATAAAATGAAACTGGCGTTACCTAACATTATTTTTTTTTTCTAAAATCAACATGTTTTGTCACCAAGGAGCACACATTATCAGCAACAACAGTCTAAAACTTAACGTCAAAGGCTCTCAAATATACTGTAAAATCACATATTTTCAAGGGGTCAAAATTGCGAAGTTTGATTGGAAAATATGGTTTGTTGGAATTTGACTTCGTGGTTGAAGAAGTGCTGAGTAGTATACGAAATTTTACATTTCTTGTTAGAAATAAATTCGTGGGTCTCTTCATATCTCAAAAACGAAAATTAAACCCCCTTGAAATTAGTGATTTCACAGTATTCTCCTTAAACATAAGGTCTAGCACCATAATCACCATAATCACTCATCGAATAAACGTTTCTTTGCCAATTGGCATTAATTTTGCTAACAATTGTTCTAGCAACATGAGTTCGTTTGTCAGTGATTTATTTTTAATTTACATATGTATTTATTTATTTATTTTTACGAGTAAAAAGATTCATCTCTTTCCATGACGTAACTATTTTCAGATTTTTTTTCTGATAATCCGTGACCGTCCATCGTCTGATACATAGTATCTACCACCACAAAACCGTCTGTGCCCCCTACAAACAAATGTGATCACTTGTGACATATTTCCTGCTTCCTCCAGCATTTTTAGAGTTTGTTCTGGAGTTTCCCGAGTGCAACATATAATTGTTTCGCTAGTCGCTGCTCCGTGAGACCGTGACAATATATGACTTTACTTGTTTGCCTTTTTTTGACATACAATGTATCTTCTGAAATTCATTTCTTTTCAGCGAAGCGAAGTATTTAGGCATAATTTGTCAAATGAAATAATTTAAGAATTCTTAATTTCAACGTCAAGATTTCCCCCCGTTTTTTGCACAATTTTACAGAGGTATGACTAAAGATTTATTTAGTGTATTGTTTGAAAAGAATTAAGTTTTGATGTGGTCCGTGATAAAGATTGACATATATTATGATATATTTAGTGCAAATCATTCGAATTTATTCTTAGAACATGACTACCAAATTTAGATATAAAGTGACTGAAAAAAAAAGTTTTGACACTAGTCCGCAAACTTTTTGAACTAGTCTTGTATACGTGCATCAAACATAAACCACTCTGACACTTTGGTACCAGTTTTATGCACGGATCTGGAGGGGGTCGGGGCCGGACCCGGGGCCCCCGTTTCTGGAATCTGCAGAGGAATTAAATGTATACACTCAAGCATATAAAAAATAATATTGGAACCCCCCACCCCACAACTTAGAAAACGTGGATCCCACCACCACCACGGATATGTAGATTCTTTTTGAAGTTTGGGATTGGACTTTACCCGTCCCCCCCCCTTTTTTTTTTTTGCTTGGCAAGAAATTTCTGCGTTGGAAATTTTTTGACTGCAGCGGACCTCCCCCGGAAAAAAAAATTCCTGGATCCGCGCCTGAGTTTTCGAACTGAACGAAACAGAAGTATTCTTGATGTCATAAGATTGAAACAAATGAAACTGTAAGAGTAAACCTTGTTCATATTTTTCTTGTAGGTCTTGTCGGTATATTAGGTTTGTAATTTGAAATTGAAACCTTTATGTCCAAATAACCTTTCATCCCGCAAATGTCAAAGAATACTTTTCAAGAATGAGTTCAGTTTCTTCATTTTATTAGTACAAATTAAAGTCGTCGTCCTCAAAATCATTTCCTTATTTTTTATCTATTGATAATTTGATAATACGCAGATAAATATGTTATATTTACCTACCTTGACAGTAGAAGCTGATTGATTTATGCTGAATGTGAAAGGTATTAATAGCACACTGGGGTTTTCCATCACATTCTTTGAGTATTGAAACAAACTGTGACTTATCGAACTCCGACATATCCATTATGGACAGGTATTTACTATTACAAGTAAGCGCTAGAGATCCCGTGTTGAATACTACTGTAGTATTCCAAGTAACTGGAAAAAAAATGTATATACACTTCTAGTATTTATTTTACCTCTTAATCAGAGATATGAGTAAAATCCTTTTAAGACCGCGGAACATTAACTGGCAAAATTGGAAATATGCAGCTTACGTCATTTCCATCTGTTACAGTCAAAACATTCAATGATAGACAATGAAATGGGCGGGTACAATTCGACACGGACGTCTGAGAAAACATTGGATTAATTGGAATTCTAGCTTGAAATTCATTTTCAATCCACCTCAGCTACGCTAGAACACACGGTGTTACTGATTGACCCAGAAGACAAATAATTTGAAATATATATAAATTGGAAAGTCTATCCTATGTTTTTAAAGAAATATAAAGGGACAAATATTTGATTTCTGTTTGGTATATGTATGTGTGTGCTTGGGGGGGGGGGGGGGAGGGGGGGGTGAGGGCTGAACGATCTTGGAAATGAATAAGAAAGTTTCAGTTTTCTTTTAGTTTGGACAATCCCTCCCTGTTTTTGTTTGTCAAACATTTTTCAGAGAAGAAAAAACTAAAAAATAAAAGCTGTTGTCATCCTAGAATTCAATATATTCTTCATGTGAAGGCATGATCTGACTCGACAATTTTGACAGCCTCCCCCCCCCTCCCCCCCTTTCCAGAATCAAATGACCGTCCCCTGAAAAAATTATCTCTGTCTTCTATGACTTTGTCGTGTCCTTAAATTACAGGCTAAAAAAAATCAAATAAATATGAATTTCAAACAACATGTATTTGGAAATTGAATTTATTTGTCGTTTGGATCATACATTCACACTTAAGGTTTGAAAACAACTCAGGTGGATTGAAATTGAATTTCAATTTTTTTCAGTGAAGAAAATAAATAATGTCTTTTGTCATCCTACAAATAATAATTATATTCTTTTATGTGAGGCATAACCATAAATAATCTGATTCGACAGAATTTTCCAGCCCCCCCCCCCCCCTACTTCTAGAATCAAATGGCCGTCCCTTAAAAGAATATAGCTACTAAATATAACTTTTGTGTGTCCTCAAAATATTGGATAGAAAATTGTTATACATTAATTTCAAACTATACGTATTTGGGAACTGAAATTATTTGTCGTTTGGGTCATACATTATAACTTTGCAAAAAAATACCTCAGGTGGATTGAAAAGGAATTTTGAATTGCAATTTCAATCCAATATTTTCGCAGACGTCCGTGTCTAATTGTACCCGCCCATTTCATTGTATGACTGCAACAGATGGAAATGACGTTAGCTGCATATTTCCAATTTTGCCAGTTAATGTTCCGCGCTCTTATATCTTTACTGAAAAAAATAAGAGAAATTCAAAAGCAACAATTTAATAATTGCTTCTTAAAAAAAAAATATTGAAATTCTCTAATTGTCAAGGACCTTAAATGTATTCTCTGCGGAAGAAGGTAACACATGATGTAAGATTCAACAATGAAACATTCTTTTACGACATCATGATTACCCACCTAGTGTTTGTATAGCATATTTAATGTTATTATCCTACTGATCTCTTTCTTTTAATTTTTATGCCCCCGTAATCGAAGACTCGGGGATGTACAGTTCTTTGCACTGTCCGTCCGTCTGTCTGTTTGTTCGCTAAACTTTAACTTTGCCCATAAGTTTTGATTGGTTGGATTCATAGCTTTCATATTTCACATGAGTATTCCTTGTGACAAGACCTTCCTTTGGGTACCTTTTGACCTTGGAGTTTGACCCACTTTTGCAAAAAATTATCGAACTTTAACCTTGGCCATAACTTTTGAACAGTTGGTGCTAGGGCTATCATATTTCACATTTGTATTCATCGTGACAAGACCTTTCCAAGGGTGTAATACCTTTTGACCTTTACCTTAGAGTTTGACCTACTTTTAAAAACATTAACCTTGGCCATATCTTTTGAACAGTTAGCACTAGGGCTTTCAAATTTCACGGTATATTCCCTGTACGTGACAAGACCTTCCTTTGGATACCAACAATTTTGACATTTTGACCTTGGATATTTACCTACTTTTGAAAAACTCTCACCATCGATATAACTTTTTAACACTTGGTGCTAGGGTTTTATATTTTGCATGCGTATTTTTTATGACAAATTCCTCCCTGCGTATCATTAATTTTGACCCTTTGACCTGGACTTTGACCCACTTTTTAAAAAATATTAACCTTGACCATAACATTTTAATGGTTATAGCTTGGACTCTAATATTTACTAGGTATATCCATTGAAACGAGTCCTTTCTTTGGGTAACAACATTTTTGATCTCTTGATCATGGCCTTGGTTTTTGACATGCATTTGAGAAAAGTTTACTTTCGCCATAGCTGCCATACGGGGGCATCAGTGTTTCACAAACACATTTTGTTTTTATAGGCAGACGATCAATACTTCTTAATATAGGCAAGTATAGATATCAAAATAATTCTAATACTTAATTCGAACATCTCGATTCATTTCAATAAAAAAAATATTTTTTTAGAAGAAACGTACCATTTAATGAAGGGTGTGTGTGTGTCAAGAATAAGGTTAAATCTATCTTTGTTACTCGTATATCATTTTGGGAGACGCGTATTTTGAGAATATTTTGAGAAAATTTCGGTGAGGTCAGAAAGATTTTCTACAAAGATAAAGCTAGTATCGAAACATTGCAATTCCACAAGTTCTTTATACATGTACAAATTTTGATAATATTTAGTAATCCTCTTTATGTACCTATTTTCTCTCCTTGTATTGTTTCATTTGTGCAAGCACATTTAACGACATCATCTTCAATGCAACCTGAAAATTAAGAAAAAAAAATCAATCTTTTAACAAGTCTTCAAAACACACACACACCTATGCGTGTGAGTGAGAATTGTTGGATAAAGCATAACCAAATAAATAAAGCTTTGATTTCTTCAACAGATTATATCCACTACAAAATGACATAAAAGAATATGTTTTTAACATTAATGTGCGTTTTCTAGGATTTAAAATGGAGAGCATTGGTAGAGGTTGGTATCTTAGCCAATAAACGATATTTAAAGAAAGTCACCGTTAATTCCCACCTTACAGGGCTCTATCATCACCTGACTTGTATTATTGACGTACAGAAACACTTGTACACCGGACTGTCCTTCAGGAAAAATAATAGTGTTCTGCTGGCTTGGATTGGGTTCTACATCATGGTAAACTGGCTCAAGAGAGGTCAGTTCGCTCGCCATTACAGTCCGATTTGTTATAAAGACGAAATAACCAGCATGTCGGCTATCTAAAATGAAGCGGAATCCTTATTAGGCCAAACAAAAAAATATGTGTGGTTCCGGTTACACCGCCAAAAGAATTAGGGTACGTAGGTAGGGATCTTTTTTTTAACAAAATGATTTTCTTAATTTTTCTAAATAATACTTATCACTACATTGCAATGACATTTAGATGTGGTGTGATAATATACTAGTCAATATTGGTAGGGGACACCTACATGCTAGCTTGCTTTGGATTTCTCACTAATAAACACTTGCACTATGTTGCGCAAGGGGGCCGTCATTGCTGAAACTAAAACTTAAACCGGAGCCATTGATGGAAATTGGGCAAAATTCCGGAAAAAATATGAAAATTGCCAAAAAAAAAGTTTAGGGTCGGGGGTATAAAATAGGGACTTTCGGGTAACCGGAACCACACATATTTTTTTTATTTGGCCTTATTGTATTAAATGGATGTAAAACATATGCAGGATCGAGAGTTGGCGTGCGTAGTTCTTTCACAACCTTTCAAAAGCAGAGAAACCCTAGCCCACCAGGGACACACGGCTGCTCATGTTGGTATTATTCAGTAAGGTATCTGCAGCAAGCTCTGGGACCATATAGTTAAATTCTATAGCCGGTCAGGATGCAGAGACAGCGCAAGCAATTAAAGACATTTTCTCGATGTCTACTAAAGCACTTGATCAAATGAGAGCAGGGGCTCTCCACCATTTAATAAGAAGGAAGACAGCAGCTCAAGATCTGGATTATATACTTTAAAAGATATTTATATCAAAATTATTTCCTGTAGTTTTTCAAAAGATGGTGTTTTAGGTAAGAAATTAGAAGAAAAGCTAAAAAAAAGGAAACAACAAAAATATTCTCTTAAGGACTTAATTCCAGAATGGAATGAAACGAGAATTTTCAGAAAATAGTGACAACTCTGGATATTAAAAACCTAGAATAACTGCTGTTACGAATAACAAAATATCTACTCAGAGGTCCGAATTCTCAAGAGGAATATATGATTACAAATCATGAGAGGACAATTCAAGAAACTCGTCTGCATCTGCTAATGTACAGTAGACAGAACTTTCTTTTTCGGAATCCCAAAAAAAGTCCAGTAAATGACTGAAGATTAAACAGGTGGTCAAAATTGCAATGCTTCCAGAGATACCCGTTTGAAGTCGTCTCAAATATTTCTTAGAAAATTGGAATTTTGTAACTCAAGAGACAGCTGGGTATTGTCAATAATCATAGAGGGATAAAAAATGGATTTTCTTCAAGATCCCCAGAAACCACTCTCCAATTGCTTGCAATTTATACGCAAAGCTACATTTACCTCTTTTGGACTCCTAAGGCGATATTGAATAAAATCAAGTGTAAACTGAGCACCCCAGGAATTGTGGCTAAGCCGTTTTAATTTGAACTTCAGCAAATTATTACTGGCACTTGAATTTTCTATAAACTTGAATAATTGTGTGTTTTTTGTGTATTTATAACGTCTTTTCGAGAATTTTTCATTCATATTGAGACGCCACCACTTAGCTGTAGAAGGCTGCAAATTTAAACCTATGCTCCGCACTTGGGGGCTTTGAACAGTTAGGGATCTTTTTTGTACCAACAACTACTGCGACACGGAATCTCGAATTATACGGTACCATCCAAAAGACCGGTCTACACATCCCATAGTCGGATTCGAACCCGCGACGTAATGATAAATTTGCATAATTGTAATGATGTTAAAGAAAAAGAAAACTAGAGGCGAGTGCTGCACATACATGTAACTGCAAACTAGCTCTTAAAGGAACGCCGGAGAGTAAATTCGGATTGTGCACATTGCTCCGAAAGAACTTTTTTCCCATAATAATTTCCGGGAGTGCATTTTAACATTAAACAATTTTTTTTCATAAGCTTTCGGTGATAAACAAAGAGGCGGATACAAGTTTTATTTTGAAGTACTTATGTATCAAACAACTGTGCTCGCCCTAGCGTTCGAATTGCCAACATATAATTACTTATTACAATACAATAGGCAATTTTAATGCAGAATAATTGTGATGAATTTCAAATTGCAAACATTGCTTAACGCTTCCCAGTACTTTCAGTACTTTGATTTTTTTGTGGTTATTCGTTACAGTGATTTACGTATTATTTTATTCGTACGTATTATATTGTATTTAGGGCCGAATTTCTGGGTTTGGGACTGATATTTTACATCTTTCAACCAAATATTTTTTTCATCAAAGAAATTACATACAGAAAACAAACGAAAATGTTCTCTTCATTAGATCTGAAATACAGTGGACGTTTTTTCATGGTCATTGGCACAGCTTAACTGAATTTGGGTGATATGTATCGAGATTACATAGGTAAAATATCAGTGAGGCCACACCAATTTAATTTCTTGTTCGTCGGACATTTGATGAAAAAAAAGTACGAGCGGGCAAGCGGTTAAATGATAATATTATTACTTTTTGTAGGTAAAATTTTGAGCGGACAATTATATTTTTTTTCTGATTTGCAGAGTAAGCAGAATTAAAATACGAAAAATAGAGCGGAAATGGAATAGAAAATAGCACAGAATTTCCATGGTGCAGGAAATTGAAATTTATATTATTTGTATAGTTTTGATTAAAGACGAGAGCGCGGGTTCGACGAACAAAAAATTTTTATTGGTGTGGCCTGATTTATATTATGGAAAGAAATAACTATTTAAAAAAAAAATTCGGCTCTTTCTTAGGACTCTTAAGGCCACTCATTCTTTTATGTACGTACAATTCTCCCGAAAGACAAGGTTTATCTTGTAGATCATTGAGGGAGACTGAAACGTAACTTGCCACCAAGCCTCTCTGTGACCGTTCTTGTCCAGTGATCCAGCGCAGTTCAACCTGTGATCGTAGTATTTGGAATCCAATGCTTTTTCTGCCAAAAGCGTTGATTTTGGAGTATCGACATACACATATTCCGATGATAAACTTGTATGGTTTCGATGATTTTTCCCCAGATTACAAAGGAGACCTGGTGCTAAGTAAATGAATATATAAAACATACTGTAACATAAGCTAGAAATTCAAAAAGGTATTTTTTGTAAATAATTGTTGATATTTTTAAGGTCTTCTGTTCAAACGGAAGACCTTCTACTGATTCTGATGGTTAAGATTATTAAGGTTTTCCGTTCCAACGGAAGACCTACTGATTCTGATGGTTAAGATTATTATTCTTTTTTAAGGTCTTCCGCTCCAGCGGGAGACCTTCTACTGATTCTGATGGTTAAGATTATTCTTATTAAGGTCTTCCGCTCCAGGCGGAAGACCTTCTACTGATTCTGATGGTTAAGATTATTCTTATTATTCTTTTTTTTTTTTTCCTAGACGCCAACTTTGAGACCTCATATCTTGCTCATTTCTCAACGGATTTTGTTCAAATTTGCAGGGTTTAAAGACGTTACAAAATTCTATCAGAATGCTGTCAAACATTTCAAAAACCCACTTCCGCTTTTGGGTTATCTCCCTTTAAATGAAAATTTAGGAGGCTTCATTTCCAGACAAAGGCTCAGAGACTACTGAAGCTGGAGTAGAAATTCTACCGAATTTAAATAATAGAAGCACTGAAGTTGTGCACATCGGTTTTTGTTTTTCAATTTCTGTATTCAAAATGGCGCTAGAGAGGGGTCAAAAATTAGAACGCCAAAAAGAGCGAAAATTTACACATATTTTCCTTTTTATCTTCTAAACTAAAAATATTTTGATAAAACATGTAGAATAAAAGTTGTGCACAATTTTAAGGCCTTTCATTTGACACCACTAAAAAGGGTCTGGCCCCTAAAATTAGGGATCTGGGGCCCTTTAAAGTTTTTGCTTTATAACTCAAAAACGGTAAATATTTCGAAATAGCTGCCGTAATTAAAGTTGTTATTTAACATCTTATTGATCTCAAGAAAATGTTATTTTGTTTGAGTCTTGTGTTCTAAATGAGCTAGAAGCATAACACATATACAGGTAAGTGTTTTCATTCAGCAAGTAAACAAGAGCTCTTCATGCGTGTAATTAAAATAAACTTACTATAAATAATAAACCTTGCTATATTAGATGCTAATATTCTTTAGAATCAGGTTTTTGAAGTATTTTGTGCTTTATTTCCAAATTATTTACTGACAACTTTCCCTTTTATTTCGTTTGTTTTCAAATTTGGATAAACCAGTCTACTAAACAGGGAAAAAAAGATAACCTTTCCTTCTTATCATATAAAAACAAACAATAGAGTTAGAAAATAAAACAAAACTTTAAACATAGACTATTCACAGCCATTAAGTACACGCCTTTTACATTCACCTCGTGTGTTTACAATTATGTAACCCCTCCCTCGATAGCGCGTGGCAAAGGAGGTCACCGAGGATCAATCGGCGTGTGAACCAGTGACCTAAGGTCATACACAAAACAAACCATAGAATGGCCATTCCAAATACATTTTAACTAAGTGATGAGTGGATAAATATGTTGAATCTTTCAGATTATTTCATATCTTTGATTAAGTCGCTAGTACATTTCGATTTATATTTTATTCGCTCAATTACAAGAAAGTTGCATTTTTATTCTTATAAACATTGCATTGTTGAGATAATTGCGCTTTGTGGAAAATTACTTTAAAATCATTTCGAATCTTTCATATGATTCCGTCTTACTGTTTAATTATCACCCGCTCGTTTTAATCAGCTAGTCTTAAGTGCCTTTCACTTATTCACTTCAAATTCAATGCATTTTGAATGCCGAAAAGACCACTTTCTTTGCGTATTAAAGAAACAGTTTATTTATCTCTCTTATGTTATTATTTAACGAGTTGCTATTTCCAGGGACCTATATACTTAGTATATAGGTCCCTGCTATTTCTTTCATGAACATTAAACAGGATGTATATAATTAAAAACGATAATTGTATGTAGAGGTCACATTTTTAATTGTCAGGAAAATCGAAAATAAAAT